TTTATTAGAAAAGAACTTTTTGAAAGACTGTCCTGAGGCCAGTCTGGCCATGGGAGTGATTCTTCAGTAAATTACTTTGTTTTCTTTCACAGTCTCATAATCTGAAAGAAAAGGACACTATTTTTGTTTTCACTTGTTGATTTGCAATTAATTTTAATTAGAATAAACTGAGATTTTTTAGTGAAAGCCTCATAATAGAGGTATTTCTTTGTACTCATAACTGCTGTCTACCCTGGACAGCTATCAGAAAGCAAATACTTCCAGCATGGGTCTTGTGATCCATAAAAACGAATAGGTTTGAATAACACACACCCCCACCCCCTCCCCCAAACGGCCCCTTCCCAAGCAAAACAAAATAACCCCCACAAACAAACAAACAAACCAACCCACCCCCCAAAAAAACAAAACCAAAAAAACCCAAACAAAAAAACCCTGGAACAAATCAGAAATAAATTATGCCCTGTCTTTGGGGAACATGATTTGCAGGTTAGGATACAGTTTTCCTGAGTAGGAGGGAAAAGGCTGAGAAAGTCCACTGCAGGAATGCATTGATAAAAAATGGTGCATTTCAAATTAATTTCAGTATGATAGATTTGAGAGTTAAAAGAAAATGCATTACTTCTGTTACATAGAGAATCATCTCTTTTACAGAAAAATATGGCTCTAGTTTAAGCTTGGAGAAAAATCAGAATTGACTGCTTTTGATAGTTACTCGTTGTAAGGCATAGATCAAGGAATAAAAAGAAATTCCAGTCTAACAGCAGAACCACATAATTTCTTTTGCATCTACTTAAATGATAGCTCAACACGAATTAGACTTTTTTCAACTGTGTAAAGTGTGCATACTTAAATGTCTTTTTAGGAGGTATTTCACTGCTTACAGGATAATGAATAATAATGGTATTGTCTAAATATGCTGCATTGCTTCACGTTTAGTTATCCTTTTGTAAGTACTTAGGGAACCCACGCTAGCTTTCTAGGCCTAATTTTGTAATTTTCTCACTTTCATAATACTATATAGCTCTGCACTACTATTGGCCTCAGTGGATCAGAGTACATCATTGTATTATGGGTAGAAACATATACTGAGCAAAACTAGGATTGCATTAGGGGGTGCATTAAGGCAGGTATGTTCAATGCTTATGATACATAAACAGGAACTGTACCAAGTTTACACGATCCATTTCATGTCTTCATTCTTTAGAAACTATTGCTATTAGCAGATTTTATAAGTAGATAGCGCTCATTTTTGTTGATTTGTACTGTAATTTTCCAAATTCATTATTTAAAAGGTCATTTTCCAAGGTTGCTAGGTCCAAAATGACCACTTTTGGCAGCAGTTCCAACCGTCTGTTCATTTCATTAATTTTCTTGCTGAATCATGGATTAGTTCTGTAAAAATACATATATCCAATTAATTCTCCAGTATAAAAAGCAGAGACTACACATAAAAAGAAATTTTAGATCTTCAAACTACATTTGGTAGATAATTGTTAACGGTATTTAATTTCTTATTTCTCCAGGTGGGGTTTCTGTTATTTAAATGTGAAGTGTTTTTAGCCTGTGAAAGGAAGCAAGACTTGAAATTCCAGGCATGCCTACAAGTCAACTGGGTTTCAGTTTCAATTTCTTTGATTAAATGCTGCGGGAGTGGACAATAAGGGGCAGGACTGCAGGTCCATTTCAGACCTTTAAAATGACAGTTTGCATGCCTTCCTTCTGCCCCAGTGGAATAAATAGTCTACGAATCCAGTGATTCATGTCCTCCAGCAAGGACTGGATCCTTTATAGTGTCAGTCCATAAATGTGTGAACTAGAAAGTTCGGGTTTTTTTTAATTGTTTGTACGATGAACTCTTTAAAACATGACATTTTGATATTATTACCTCTAATATGACCCGAAAGGCAGTGTCTTAACCAGCAAGTACTAACAGCCACACGATGGCACTTCTGCTTCATGTAAGGGCTAAAGTTCAATCACTTAGCAGGCTGGTAAAAAACAGAAAAACAAACAAACAAGCCCAAATTTAACCTACAGAAGAAAAGCATGCTGCTTCTTGTGAACAGCAATTTAATGTCAGTAGTTTAAAACATCAAATGCATTCCTTTCAATAAAGCAGAAACTATTTTTGCCCTATGCAGTACCTCAAGAATCAATGTCAGTGAAGTCTCTAGCATTCAACTTTTTCATGTTTCCATGAACATTTCCAAATTGCCTGAGATATTTTTGGTAATGCAAGATCCCCATACACTCGTGTTCTATAGATATACTATCTTACTGCACTGTTTCCTTTCAGAAAAGTTTTATGGAAAGTTTTAGGTTTTTGCAAAATTTAGCTGCATGGATTTTTTTTTCTTTGTAGTGTAGCATAAATTTATTTCAGTTTTCCTGAATGTTGCGACATCACTTGCTTGTTTTGTGTGGTCCTGATTCAGTATTTTAATCCCCCCCCCCCCCCAAAAAAAAAAAAAAAAAAAAGAAGAAAAAACATTTCCTTGCCAGCTGACTCAAATGTCTCCCTTTGGCTACACTGGTGTACTGTGAAAAGTGAATGCTTGCTTCCTCTGTTGCCTGTAATGAGGCCAATCCCTAGCAAAAATGTTGGGAAAAGGGAAGAACTATTGGAATGGCAGCAGGAAGACAAGGGTTTGGGCAGCAAAGACAACATGGTTTTAGCAAAAGGGTAAATTTTAGATTTGAGTGATTTAGCTGTTGCTCAGAGTAATTAAGAGGCCTGTCCAGGAATTTTTGACTAAGATGGAGCAGAGGCACAAGACTCCAAGCAGTCAGCTTTCTGATTACCTAATGCATTTGGACCCTGAATTTGAAGTTATGGGTGGTGCATTGATTTGCTCTTGGAGACAATTTCTCTGCTGCAGTGTTAGCTCACACTTGTGCCAAGCTCTGGGCTATCTAGCAGTGATTTACAGCTGAAGCAAGGAAATGCAGAACTGTGGTGGTAAATCCGTTTTGAACTTCAGTCTTTGCCTTTCACATAGAATGGGCAAGATGGGCTTATGCTATATGACACAAAAGCCTCAAGTCTGTACTTATGGTGTGACTAACAGAACCAGTATATTGCCATGGCTCTAAGCTGTAGATAGTCCAGGAAAGAGAAGAACGTTGGAAGGAGGAGAGTTGTAACATGTTTTTGCAGAAGAGAAAATTGTGAATAAACCCTGATGAATCATGCTTTGAGTAAATATATTTGTACACATAAATGCCAGAGAGAGTTCTCTTGGGCAAGACAAGTATGCCACCAGTTGCAGTTGTTTTGCTTCTGCTTAATACTGGAAAAGCTACTTTATTAATGAGGATTGTAGATTAATTCACCTGCTCTGCAGTGACTTCATTGCTCTGTGCTTTCTGAAATTGCTTTCAAAGCTACAGCATTCCAACCAGATTTTCCCATTAATACTTTATTAGCAGAAGCTATTTCTGCTATAAATGCCTGAAATTTGCTTTTCTGTGTGCTAGTGTGCATAGCATATGCATGGAAGACTTTTAAAAGACTTTTTTTTTTACCTTCTCCGCAGTAACCGTTGGGTTAAGATGCTGGTTTTTGGTGTTTTTTTTTTTTTTTTTTTTTTTTTTAAGTAGGAATTCTTAGCATCCAGTAGAGAAAACATCTTAATTGTTCTTTCTTTTTTTTTTTTTTTTTTCGTTTTCCTTCCTCCCCCCTTCTGGGAAACGTTTCTTGACATATTTCCCCTTCTTAAAATTAATATTTCTATAGCTAATTCTCTTAGGGTAAACAGTACCTAAAAGCATTCACTGGCTTTAGACAGTGAAAATTAACAGGCTGTTACTTCTCCTGCCTTTTGTCGAAGACAGCTGAGCTCTGTAGTATGCATCGTAGCATCCTGGATTACAAGACAAGCAGATTTAGGACAGAATGCACAGCAAAAAGCTTCCAAGCACAACTAGAGTAAATCATTAATCTGTATTAAGGAAATTCCTTTTTTATAAGATAAGGAGAGACTATTGTAATGGGACTGCACTGAAGAGTGAAGTTTACCTATTGACATTGAGAGGCTTTGTGAAAGCAGTATGACTGCAGCAGTTCAGGCATTTACACAACTGTGTATTTGTGTTTTCTGGTCCTGCTGGTATTGGTGTCGTGGCTGCAGCGCCCAGATGTTAACTCCACGGAGCTGTGCTGGGAAAACCTGCAGGTCCTGCCTGGCTCTAAACACACTTCATAGCTCTCACCTCCATACCCGCGTGATGGGTCTATGAGTAGTGTATGTTACCAGGCTAGGCTCTAAACACACTTCATAGCTCTCACCTCCATACCCGCGTGATGGGTCTATGAGTAGTGTATGTTACCAGGCTAACTTGTTTGGGCACAAACCCCTGCATATCCCAATTTACCACCAAAAAGACTTAACACTAGGCTTGAACACCACTCTATCTGTTAAATCTTGTGGTTCTCGATCGTAAGGCAGGAAAAGCCTCGGACTGGAGGAGCTACAGCTGCAGGCTCTGGTAACGGCCTCACGACAACCTGCACAACCTGTAGTCACACCGTGCGAAAAGCTTTCGACACTTTCCCTTTCCCCATGTTCCCCGGGACCAGGGTCCCGCTCGCCTCTTCTGCTTCGTCCCCGGCTGTCTAGGGGAGGGTTGGGGTCCCCAGATACGGCAAAGCCCGTCCGTTCCCGGCGGCGGGAGCCGCTCTCCTCGCAAGCAAGGAGCCCCGCGGCTGTCGGGACCAGTGCTCCAGAGATGGAGCCGAGGTGGGGCGCGGCGCCCCCCGCCTGCCCCGCAGCCAAGAGAAGCCCGGCGCCGCCGCTCCCCCGAACGGCCGCTTTCTGCGGTGGTGTGGCCCCTACCCGGCCGCCGGCGCAGCGCCGCTGGGGAGAGGGCGCTCCCCGCTTTACGGCTGCTGAAAACCTCCCTCGGCGAGCACGGGGCAGCCGTACGGCGCCGGGGGACCCACCGGGGGTGGGCAGGTAAAGGCGAGGCGGCGCGGAGGCGGGTGGGAGGGCTCGGATAACCGGTACCGGCACCCCGTCCCCTGGGTAGGAGGCCAGTGTGTCGGTGTGTTGCTGCCGCGGAGCCCGGCTATCAGCCGGGGCTGGTCCTCACGCCAGAGCTGCCGGCAGTGGGGAAAACTTTGTCAAAGCGCGGCAGCTTGGTGGGTGTTTGTCTGCAAGTAACGCTCAACTCGGTAAAAAAACTGTAGCTCCGAGCCACCCTGGCGGGCTCGGCGGCTGCTCCGCCTGTCCCGCCCCGCCCCACGGCGCGGTGAGGTGCAGGGGAACCGCGTCCCTCGCTAATTGATCCGTCGGTGCCGCCCGCTAACGAGGAGGTGCCGGTGGTGAGGCCTGAGCACGCTGCGACGTGCAGTGTAACAGGTAAATCTGTATGGTAAATACGTCCTGCCGGGAGAGGGTGGGCTGTGCCCTCCCGCTCTTTTTACCTCCCTAGCTACCAAGTAGACTTACTCAGGAGTATTTTATTACTTGCTTTCAGTTCACTCAGCTGCGTTGAGAAATCAGACGCAAGCATTGTCTCGGCTAGATTTAGAAATTATGTGTTGAATTATGCGTTAGCTTCTTAAAGCTTTTAAATATTAAAATTGAAGCCCTAAGGCATAGATACGTGACATCTTGAAAACTTTTTGGAATGATCAAACAAATGAACTGGGTGGAAGCATACTTTTCCTGCCTTATTTTGTGTGGGCTCAGATTAGCTGAAACACCAATGAGTAATTTCACAAGTTTCAGTTCAGGGTAACACTGTAGTCCTGTTGTGTGTACCTCAGCGTCTTGGATTCTCCATCCATATGGAGCTCCTTGACTTCAGTGTTTTTTGTTTTTTTTTTGTACAACAAGCCTCTCTTAGCCGAGATGGGCTCAAACCTGATTAAAATGTACTATGTGAAGACTGTGGGGTTGACACTTGTAAACAGTGCTGAGCCATCATGCTGACTTCAGCTGAAATGTACAGCATTTTTGCTGAGTCATCTGAACAGAAATATTTAGGGAAGAAATAAAGAATTTAGTTTTTACCCTAATATGAGCAGCTTGTTTCATGTTGGTTTATTTATTACTTGGTACATATTTCTTGCATTTACAGACTAATTTATTTGTTCAGTGGTTAGCATATGGAAAGCATTAGATGGCTGAAATGGTAACAATGCTGGAGTCTTGTAAATCAAGCAATGCCAGATACATTTTTAGAATTTTAATCTAAAGAGCTCTGTTATGTGTCCCAGTGCATGTGTAAAGCAGCATTTATCTCCAGTATCATCAAAAGACTAAAGAGTATCTTCTGAATGTTGGTCATGGATCACATTCCTAGTAAGTGTCTTAACTCTTTATAATAATCTACCATAAAGTTAATCACCTGAAACAAGCCCAAGAATGATCTTTTGCAGGAGATCTTTTGTAGTGTATTTCAGCTGGTTCTTTTATTTAATTATTTTTTAATTAAAAGCTGTAGAGCTGTACACACAACATTTTCTTAAAAAAGGAAACTGATTTTTCTCCAAGTTGCATCAGTTTTTCTTGTTTTAAGTGTCTGTCTAAACTTTGGTTCTTTTTTTTTCTTTTCCATAGCCTTAATGTGAAAACAGTTTTATGTTGAAGATGCAAGCTGAGACATTACTAGCAGGCCAAACTGCTTGATGATTAAGCAATACTTATGTTTATGCTTTTGGCTGTCTGATTTCAAGAGTTGGGTCCAAGTTATTTATCTAAAGCAGAAAAAAGGACTAAGTAGTAAGAATGTTAGAATTGTCTAAGTTGATAGAAAGATGCTCGGGATACATGTGAGTGTCACAAGCTGCAGACTTGCAGACTTTTTTGTGGCAGCAACTCCCAATAGTCACGCTGAATCATACGACTTCTCACTCTGTTAATCTTCATAGCTGGAGTTTTAGCTTTGTCACTTACTGTGGTGCATACCTGAATTATTTTTTCCCTTCTTCAGTAACCTCAGGGTATGAATACAGAAAATAGACCTTTAAAGTACACACCCCTGAGAACCCACCCCCCTTACCCCCCCCCCCCCCAAACAGATTTATTTCAGAAATGTAGTTCTTAGTGATGCAGATGTAGCCCTCCAGGGAGTGTGTGCAGTAGATCTTTGTGATGGTGAATCTGTCAAATAGACATCTTCTAGATCCTCTTACTCTTTTGTTGGCTCTGGAGCTTAACGTTCTTTTGTTGGCTAAGATAGTATTCCTGCAATAAGTTATATTTATTTAGTACAGAATTGGTGTTTAGGCTTTGGTGATAAGCACATGAAGCTATAAATATACATATATTTATAACTGAGAATAATAGGAGCTTGGCTCTGAATTAGTGATAGAACTTAAAACTGGGAACTTGTAAGTTTCCTTCCTGTGCAGATCACTCTCACTTGCTGAGATGTAGAACAAAGGTTATAACAGTTGCCTGAAGATAGCTGTGATTCAAAGTCTGAAATACAGGTGTTATCTCCAGCTGTGTGATACAGAACAGATACTGAATGTCCGTATTTTTAAGAGGCAAAGTTTCATTTTCGTGTCATGTGGAAATACAGTGGTGCCATTCTTGTTTTCACTGCCATTTGACTTTTGTTGTGTTTGATCTGTTGGAAGAGGTAGCTCTCTGGGACTATATCTGCTTGATTTCTTGTCTGATGGGTTTCAGTATAAACTGGTGTGAGGAGTGTCAGTCGTATTTGTTCTAGTACTCTATGCCAAACCTTTGGTTAGGTGGCCGTGTACAGAGGGGACCAACTGTGTTTGTATTTTCATTATAGGCTGTTGGCAATCCAGCAACCACTAGGTCTACGTATAGAGTGACAATAGTGGGAATTGCATAACTCTTTTGTGTTGGTGTGAGGAAATGGACTTTTATGGACATAGAATTTGGCACTAGCACTTCCATGGATCGCACGCTCAGTGCAGGTTCATTCATGCAACTGCTGTGTTGGCTAAACTGCTTTGTTGATAGTTGTATTTTTTGTTTGGACCTTCTTTGTTTATAAGTTCTGAAACTTATGTATGTGTTGTTTTGATTGCAGACCAAACTTTTGTGAATCAAAATCTCTTGGGTGTGATGTCTCTTCTCTCCCTCTGTCCACTTATATTTCTCTTCCAAAAACTTTGGCAAGATTGCTAGAGCTGTAAAGCAAGCACTTGTTTTTTTCCTGACTTCTGTGGTTGCATATTGTTTGTGTGTGTATGTATGATATTTTTGGGTTTTGATTTCGTATTTTTTTTTTGTGGTGGTGTGTTGTTTTTTTTTTATTTGTTTTTTGTTTGTTTGGTTTTTTGTGTGTATGTGTGCACATTGTTTTGTTTTTAAAGTCAGTACTGATGTTGGATTCAGAAGATTTAGATTACCAGCATAAAAGCTCACGTCAATACAGATATACTATTTAACAGTGAAAAAGCCTGATTCCCCCAGCTCCCATCATGCACTTAAGTCACAGAGTGAGGGAAAGAAACATTTTCCTCTCCTGTTTTTCCTTCTAATTTTAAGATTTGCATGTTTCTTAATGGCATTGCTGAAGTGGTTGAGCATTGAAATTTGACACGGAAATTGGCTCCATTAAGTCACTTAGTGCTCTGATTGAGAAAGGAGGTTTTAGCAGGGTCGAGGTCAGTTTCCCATGTAAAAAGTGACAGGACAAGATGAAATGTTGTGCAAGGGGAGGGTTTTACATTGGCTGTTACGATTTTTTTTATTTTTTTTTTTTTTCACTGAAAGGGTTGTCAAGCATTGCACCAGGCTGTCCAGGGAAGTGGTGAAGTCACCATCCCTGGAGGGATTTAGAAGACTTCTAGATGTGGTGCTTAGGCACATGGTTTACTGGCAGACTTGGAAGTGCTAAGTTAGTGGCTGGACTTGATGATTTTAAAGGTCTTTTCCAACCTAAACATTGAGGTTGGTCTCCGATTCTGTCATGGGTTAAAAACAGTACTCTCTGTTCTTTGAGCATTATCAACTTTGATGAATCAAAGTGCTTTAATGAAATTATGTACATTAAAACAGTTTGTTTCTTCTCAAATATACTTCTCCTGGTTCTGTCAGTCATGTATGCTTGGTTAATGCTGCTATGCAGAGAAGTAGGAAAGGTTCATTCCCCATAACTGTATGGCTCCTATAAAGTAAAATCAGGTACAGCTGTTACAGCGTAGGCTGAGTGCAGGAAAGTAGTTATTTTCTAGGAGCCATGGACTAGCCATGGCATCTGTTGGTCAGCTGGAATCTGGGGGCGGGGGGGAAATGTTGAGTTGAATATCTGAAAATGTAGTTAAGGAGTAATCAGATGAAGGTTTATGAGCACTGTTTGCTCTGGGTTCTTGTACAAACGTGGTTGCAATTCTATGTGAGTATCTGAAGCACAGAATAAGTACAGGAGCTGAATGAAAGTCAGAATATGCTATTATTTATTATTGATCCATTAGTTGTAATGTAGGTCAATATCCTGACTTTGATTGTTGACCTCAGAAACCCTTGACTGTTTATACTACTAAGTGCAGCATTTCTCCTTTGTACAGAGCTGAAGAATTCAGCCATGGTTCTTCTATGGTTTATGGTTGAAAATCAGAGGGAAATACCACCCAAGCACATGAATGTAGGGGGAGGGAAAAATATGTAAGAGTTATTTGGGAGTTTGAATTGGTAGAATTGTTGGGTCTGTTCCTTTGTTCTTTCTTCACAGTTGTTTTTGAGCTTCTTAGTTAAATATGTTCCATGTAGATGCGGATTAATTTATGGATCTTTTAGAGGAAGAGGTTCAATATGGTCCAATCTATATATGACTGAGCAAAAAATGTACAGCATCTTTGTATTTGACAATAATGAGATCACTCCAAGAATCCTCTGTCCAGTGTAGGTGTTCATACTTCAGAATGTTTAAGTCAAAGAGAATTCAGAGAACTGTAAGAATGAATAAGGGTTGAAAATAGTTCCTAAGGAAGAAATTCTAAGAGCTCAATATGTTAAATATTATCAAAGAGAAAGGCAAGGAGGGACTTGATTCTAATGTTTACGTGTGTGCATTGTGAACAGAAATTCTATTATGAAGCAGAAAATGATGGTATAACAAGATTCAGTGGCTAAAATATGAACCAGAGACATTTGCGGTAGAAATAAGAAATGCATCTTCAGCAATGAGGGAAATTTATTGCAGTTTATGTTAAGATATTTATTAAATATTCAAAACTAATTTAAATGTGATACCTTTCCTTTAAGATGTACCTAAATAAAAATTGAGGGCCTGTGTCCATGTTCTGTTAAAATCAGCGTATATGATCATAATATTCTTTCTGTATCTAAATGCATGAATCTAAATAAAAAGAAAATAATGAAATACGTTTTTTTAACCCAGGGTACTGTTGAAATTAAAACAGAGC